TGCCTGCCTCCACTCTTTCCTCTTCTCCCTCTCCTACTCCACCACTCCTGGTTTCCTTGCCTGGGTTCTGCATGCAGTGCAGATGCCAGATGACAGCTGGCATTTGCCATGAACTACTTTGCCACCAGGTATCTTCAGGTCATTGATTTCCCCCATGACAGCTCGTGGCCACAGCATTACTTACTCATTGTTCATTATGCTTGGCCTGTGAATTTTGGATTGGGATTTTCAGTTCTAAAAGGTGCTGACTAGGACCAAGCAAACCTGTTACTATTTTAAGCAGCCCATGGGTTCCACTCTTCTCCCCTCTCAAACTGAGAAAGCCACCCATCTGTTCTAGCCCCTTTTCACTGTATGCAGGCTTGCTTTCAAAGTACTAGGCTAAAATACCTTTAATTATAGAAGAAAAGGGGATAATTGCATTGAGCCCTACATTAATTCCAAGGCTGAAATGAATTGCAAGGAGAAGCACTTATTGAATATCACGGACACTCAGTTTACATATCATCTTGCAGGCAACTCCCACATTTCATTGATGCTGCAGCCTCACATTGCAGTCTTGCCACTTCTACTTTCTTTAGACACCAAAAGAAGCCCATCCAGCACCCACTAATGGGGGAAGAACTGCTGCACATGTGGTGATCTCTGTGCCCTGGGCTGAGCACTAACAACAGACCATAGTGGCTACAGGAATGCTTCAGTGCTCCCAGGTCACTTAGTGCCGAGAAGGCCATGGGCACATTGGTTTGAGCAGTCTTTTCTATACAGACAGCTGCAAGTTTTAATAGCTCCCTTTCCCTCATCATGATCCAGAGGGTTACAGATGAAGATTGTAATTGGTGCCACCAATGATGAGAGGCCTCCCCACCTGAAATGATTCCTTACAGACTAGGGTATAAAATGAGTTCAGGCCATTCAGGACCCCCAGATATCTCAAACAGTAGATAATACAGTCACTGTAACACCAAGCAAACTGCAAAACTTATTATTCATTTTGTGCTATTTTTCTGGCCTACCCAAGCAAGCAGCAGCAAATCTCTTTTTCAGCAAATCCACAACATCTGCCTCATACACCTGCCAACGTTGTTTAATGACAGCTAATAATCATTTTACTTAAAAAATTCAAAGGCACATCAGACATGTCCCCACACAGAGCACTCCCCTGGCACAATACAGTTATCTCTCATCCCCCACAAAAGACACACTCGTTAATTACATCTCCCACCATCAATCCTGCAGCCTTCCTTGTTCCCACAGATACCTCAGATGCCGTTCCTCTCCCTATTCTCCCTCCCTGTACTTGTGCTTACTAGCAGCTGCACACATCCTGGAGCCTTGCTCCAGATCCTCAGTCAAAACATGGGTTGTTTGTTCCCTTTCAGAAACCAGAAAAAAAAGCTACTTACCACCCTGTTTCCTCATAGCAATACAAGAGATGATCTTATATAGCTCTCAAGCTTAAGGGGAAAGGAAAATGTATTTCTTCAATCCCTTTCTAGCTTCAACCTTCACACTTTTGTGGGGCAAGGAGCTTGACTAGCAGCAGCTGTGTGTGCTATGCTCATTTGTCTTTCCCTTCTTGGTGGTGTCTACAGCTGCTTCAGAATGGAAGCCCACTTCCCTCTGATATCTCTGCAGCAGCCCAGCTGTGTGCACTTACAGACTGCTAGTTCCAGGCAAGCTGTTTGGCTCATCCAAGTGCTTGCAATGAGCTTTGATGCCCTTTAGCTAAGTTTACAGACTTGCTATGTGGCATGTGATGTCCTTTCTCCACAACCTCCCCTCTGTCCCCACAGTGGTTGTGTCAATGCATGATTCACTTACTACTCAGCATAGGACCCAGAAAACCAGCAATTCATGGATCTTCTGTCTTCCCCTGCTGGTGCAGATATTCATAGGGTGTGTTGTCCTCATTGAGAATTTTCTCCTGATACAGAAAAAGAAAAAAAGAAAAAAAAATCTTAATGTGCTAGGTGTCTCTGTTCAGCCCTGGCCCTAACTCCAGCCTGCCCACAACCTCAGTTTCTGAGTTATCCTGTTGTTTCCCACCCATGGAACAAAGCAAACCATGTCTGTTAGTGCAGTCAGCTCCTACTCAGAGCTAAATAGAGAAAGCACATGGTTTAGAGTAATGCCAGATTGCACCGGGTTTGGGCTATTTTCTGTTGGGTAGATATGAGAAATGCTTCATATCACTTACTTATCTCATGTTATGCTGGCACGGCTGTAGAGACTTTTAGTTTTCATTTGCTTGCAGCCTTAGCAGTTTGTGTTCACTTGTTACATTCACAGCCTGAGATCTTTTTGGATAGCTTGTTTAACTGGCCAACATAATCCCAGTTACAGATTTCTCACTAAGTTTTTAGGTTACAGGCTGTGGGTATCCCTCAGCTGGGACAGGGAGGTGAAGGCAGGGTGCCCTAGCTAGTGTGGTTACACAGTATCAGCAGATGCAGCTTCTCTTCCTCCTCTTCAAGAATGTGCTTCCAGTTGGAAACTCTACCATATTTGGAAATGTGGAGCCAAGAGAATTTCTGGAAGGGAAATATGTTTAAGACTTCCTTCTGCCTCATGTTTTGAAGTGAAGCTGAGGCTAGAGAAGTGCATTTTCTCCAGCTTTGGTGCAACATAGGTAAAATGCTTTTCCTCAGAAAGAAACTATGTTGACTAGAAGAAGGCTGCTTCCTTTTTGTATCTGCTGGCTTGTCTCAATTCTTGATTTAAAAATGCCAACCACCTCCCAGATGTTAATTAATCATAACTAGTGAAGAAAATGCATTGGCTCCCATGAGCAGGAAAGTGGTCTGAATGGGAACCCAGAGGGCAAGGCTCCTGAGAAAACCCCAATTGCTGTATCAGTTCTCCCTCCAGACACGGACACCTATCCGCCCTTTTTGCTTTCTTCCTTTTGGAACGGGATTGGATATGATTAGCTTAGTCACTGCTGTAGGTAAGGGACTCATCAGCTAATTCAGCACCTCACTCTAATGATATAAAAATATTAAAAGCTTCACTGGAAGGAATTGAAGCTGTTTCTTAAGAGTTATTGCTCATTTACAACCTTTTTTTGTAACACATCTTGGAAGAGCAAAGGTAAGGTGAGAAGAACGGATTTTCATTTTAAAAACAGAAATGCATTGCCATTTGGCATTATTTAGCATCCTGATGGGAAGACATGAACACCCAGTTCCTGACCCTGCCTCAATCCTGCCCTGTTTAATCCCAGATTGTGCTACACTGTAACTGCAGAGAACTGTTTCGGATGCGCTGGGGAATATTCCAGTCCTCCTCCTACTTTGAAGAAGCTATGAGAGAAAATAAGGCGGGGAAAGCAGGACAGAGATCTGGGATCATGATCATAGAATCATTAAGGTTGGAAAGAGCACTAAGTTAACTTAGTCCACCATGTCCACTAAGCCACGTCACTCAGATCCCACATGGAAGTTGCCAAAGCTAGCGAGCAAACAACAGACCTCTCTGTCAGCAAGTGGCAGGGAGGCTCATGTAACACCCTTTGGGATTAAAGCCGTGCCCCCTTTTCTTCTTCCCAGCCCAGCAGTGCTGGGTTGCAGGGCTGCCTCCTACTGTGCCTTGCTGCAGTGCTGCGGCATGGCTGCTGTGTGCTGGCTGCAGCACTGAGCGGGTGGGAGGATGAGAGACCAGTGGCAAGAAGGCATGTTGGTTTGGGGAGCTGGTGGGGTGTTAGGAGTGTGCTGGAGCTGAAGGCTGCAGAAGATGGTGAGATTAAAAATAAGCTGCGGGCAGCCTTCCTACCATGCTAACTGCCTGTTCTCCTTGTGACCCACTGAGATGACAGCAGCAGCAGAGAGCATCTGTCCTACCATCCTGGCAGGGCAGGACAGTGCTGTTTTGCTCCTAAGCAGAACCTCCTGCTCTGTCTGGCTGCTGCAGTCTGCAGGACTAATGCAAGCTGAGTGTTTCCTGCCATCTGCATCCAAGCCAAGTGACTCCCTCCTTCCCAAAAGTTCAGTAAGGCATCGGTGTACATCAAAGATGAGCTTACTCACTCACATCTCAGAGGTCATTCTGCTCTTGCAAAGAGAAAAGAGCAAGTTCTTAAAAACCACTGGACATTGTTCTGCAGGGTTTGTAATTCCAAATAATCACCAAAGAAACTTTCAGAGATCTGGGTTATCCATCACAAACCACACACCTTTGTACCTACCTTGGCAATGCTGTATTTAGACCTAAAAAAATAGAAAGACAATGTATAATGATAGTTGAAATGCATATTTAGATCAGAGAATGCAATCTCCTGACCAGTAGCTCATACACGATAGGTGTCAGTAGCAGTTTCTTCTGTCCTTTGCAGATGCTGTGTGTTGCTGCAGATTGGCTGTGGGTCCTTCAGGCCTCCCCAAACTGTACTTTCAGCTATCCATGGAAACAGAACATTAGCTGCAAATAAATGCTCAGGCTCATCCAATGGGCTAAACGCAGGGAAAATCTTTGTAATTTCTGGTGTGTTCTCCTTCTCCCCAGCTTTTACTTTCATACATGCATTATTATTCATTTGAATTGTTTTAGGAAATCTTGGGGGTGTGTGGAAGTTTTGGAAGTTTGGCTCCGGAGGGTCTGCAGCACTCAGTGCTGAACATCAGTTTAGCCTTTTCCACTCTGTTAAAACACTCCCAGGTATCAGTGTGTGTCTCAGGGGAGCGTTATGCAGTGCCTCAGCAGCACCTTTTTTAAGGTATGCTCCTTCTGGAGAGGTATTCAGGAGAACACCTCAGACTGAATTTTCATGGACATGTCGGAGACGTACTGCTTTGTGCAGGCAGTAGTGCTGTAAGTCTGGGTAGAAATTTCCCTTTTAAAGCTTCTGTGGAGAAAATATGTGCCTCCATTTGTCCTCTTGTATAGTGTTTGCAGATCCACTACAGAAATGTAGAGCAAGATGCTCTGAACAGTGGGTTTAGAGGAAGAAATCTGGCATGAATCTATAGCTTCACTATGTTTTTTGGCTACTTTCTCCATAGGAACGTTTGTATCAGCTTTCACTGTGCTGTGTGGAGCCCGGACTGACCTCCCTGACAGGCACATATGCTGTGTCTTCTGGCTGAACATTGCTGCTGCATTGATCCAGATCCTGACAGCAATTGTGATGGTCGGCTGGATTATGAGTATATTCTGGGGAATGGACATGGTCATTCTTGCAAGTAAGTACAGTGCAACATCCATTCCATCTGCCTTATGTTGCTAGGACACAACTGATGCCCCTGCAGTCCCCACACAGCTCTGTAGGGTGCAAGAGCCACAGATTGGGCTCTGCAAGTTGGTGAGAAACTTGTGGGAGTGGTTAGGGACGTTTATACCCAGGCTGCCCTGTTGCTTGTCTGGATGAGAGGCTTGCATCTCACCATGCAGTTTAGCATCTTTTGGTCCTTCCTAAAACATAAAAAATGCAAGAAGGGGTGAGGACTTCAGAGGATTTCAGCACTGCAAGCTCTGTTATCTGGAGTCCTTCCTCTCTGGTTGCATTGGTATATGGTTTTGAACTGGAAAGACCTTCTTCCTTCACGGCCCCACGGCTGCACGGCTGCACCTCTCCCACAATGTCAGTCTGTAAGAAAAGCCCTGGGGATGCTCTAGGACCTTCCATCTTCCCTAAATTCATTTATCCAAAGGCTCTTTTTTATGTCTCATCAAGTTCTTAGGCTGGACTGGACTGCTGAGCTATTCCTGGAAGGAACTCTACTTTGCCCTTTAAGGATATGACACACGAGTCTGGGGGGAGAAGAGTCTTTCATTGAAGTTAGGTCATCCAGCTGGTTAACCACATATTACTACTCGAGAACCGAAACTCTGTCACTTTACCTGCTAAAGACTTTGACTGGTGTGAAACGGAGGATCATTTCCAATCACACAACGGAGAATAGAAGTAGCTACTTCTGAAGGAGAATATCTTAGCATCAGCTTTTGCCATTTTGTTTGAAAGGGCTCCACGTGGTCATCTCTGTTGACCTCTGCTGGAGCAGGAAGGGGGATCTCAGGAAACTCCCAGGATCTGCAAAACAACAAAATGAGTGAAACTGAAAGGACAGCAGGAGACCAGGCACATCTTCAGCTGCCAAACCCATGGGTTAAGCCCACTTACCAAGCCATCTGCTGCTTTCTGAGCCAGCCTCAGTTTGCAGGCTGAGTTCAGGGAGATCCCCACACAGAGCAAAGTGTTGTAAAAAACTCAAATGCCAGTGAAACAAAAGGCTTTCCTCAGGACACAGGCAGCACTACACTTTGCTTTCCTGTGCAAACCAGCTGCCAGGTTTCATCTCAGACACGCCTGTGTGTCAGGGGGTAGCCTGAGCTACTGCTGAGGATAAAATGTGAATGAGTCCTTTTCAGTGGAATGGCTTTAGGAGCCTGCCCAATTTGTGTGTGATCAGGTCATTCAGTGTTTGTACCCACACTTTGCACTGCCGGCAAAACCAGTTTCGCAGTGGCAAGCGCCTGTTTAAAGAGCTGCAGTTAAAACTGTGACTTACCTTTCTTTATAGTCCTGCTTGTGTATGGCACAGCCACAGGTAAGCTGAGCAGAGAGCTGACTTTAAGGAGGCTCCACCTGATTTTCCAGGTTGATTGCCAGGGAAAAAATTACAGCTTCATCTGGTTCCCTCTGCTAGAAGGGCAAGCAGAACCTATGTGCTTCATGAGAACCAGCTCTATATAACCCAACAAGTTGCAGCCCTCAGCAGTTTCTTGCTGCCTCATTAAATAGTTAGATTTTAAGCTTCTTTACAATACAGAGGAAATCATGGATAAGTAAAGCAGCTCTTGGTTAATGGAGGATAAAAAAAAATGTAGTTTTCCAGTCAAAGCAGAAAACAGAAGTGATCTGTTGTGCTCCCTTGAATCAAACAGCATGCCAGGGATGAAGTGAAATGGTTTGGGTTTTTTTGTCTGTTTTCATGTTGAAACAAAAGAAAACAAAACCAAACCCCACCAAAACAGAGTCATTAAAAAATGAAACAAGGTTTCAAGTGCAAGAAATAAGATATTTCATCTAAAAATACTGCTACGCAAAATCGTTTGCTTTGGTTGGGTTTGGTTTGCTTAAAAGGAGAAAAAAAGTTGTTTGTGATTTGTTCTGCACTGGGATAAAGCTATAAACTGTTGAAACTTGAGTCTGCATTTGGCTGGGGAGGAGTTAGAAGATGCTGAAGCAATGCCCACCTCTACTTTTCCTCACCATTAAATGGCTGAGCCCGTGCATCCCCATGATGGGATTTTTGGTGGGCTAAAGCTCAATCTAAGCATGTGATATCCCAGACAAATGTGCTGGAGGGCTTGTGCTCTGGATTTCCATGCAGTGGGGGATCAGTTCCTTTCTGACAGGCTCCAGGCAGAGCCTGTGCTGCAAAGCATGCTTGTGTTGCTGGTTGGCAGAGCGCTGGGCAGCAACCAGGGAGGCTGGTTGCAGTTCTCCCCTTCCTAAGGCTCCCTCATTCTCAGCCACTGAGAGAGGAGTCCTGCTGGAGCCTTGTCCAAGAGGAGAGCATTGAGGATAATGTCATGCTGTCTGTCTTTAATGAGGGAGAAAATGAGAAGAATTATAAGTCAGTCAGGTATACTTCAGTTCCTGGAACAAATAATCAAATGGATGACTTGCATGCATTTAGGAAATAAAAAGAAATAAAGCAAGAGCCTGGTTGTGTCAAGAACAAGCTGTGTCAAACTGGCCTCATTCCCTTCTGTGGCAGAGGAATTCATTTTGTGAATTGAGAAGATGATCAGACAGACATCTTGACTTTCAGGCATGGACATTGTGTCACACAGCACTATTCCAAGCAGGCCAAGAGATGTGGTCTGTGTGAAAGATTTGAGAGCAGTTCTCTGAATATGTTTTTCTTTAATTCATCCTGAAATTGAAGCTACAAAGAGAGATGTTTTGTGACCCCTCCTGAAACTAGTTCTGCTCAGTATTTTCATTCAGAACTGGATGATGGTGTGGGCAAGCAGCAGGGGCAGGGTTCAGGTGGGACCCTGACAAACTGAAGAAATGGCGTGAAAAACATTACCAGATGGCTTTGGGAAGAGCTCTTTGTTTTACCTGCTATCTGAAAGTAAAGGGAGATGGAAAAGAAGCCCCTAATTCTTTTGCAAAAAAATAATAAGCTGGACTCACCTCCCTGCAGTAACTCACAGATATCTCATGGGCAACAGCAGCACCGTGCCCTCCCTGAGTCCCTTCTGGCTCAGGAGACAGAAGTCAGGGAATATTTGTCCAGGCATTGTTGCACCTCTAATGAACACAGCCCAGAAGTCAAACATGGTCTTTGAAGGAGTGAGAGGGCTCTCACTCCACTTCTGCCCTCTCAGTTAGGTGAGTGAAGGCACTATCACCTGCGGACTCAGATGATGGGCACTCTTGCTGCAGCAACCCTCGGCCTCTCAAAGATTCACAGACATCCAGTAGCAAGAAATTACCTGTGCTCATACTGCCCATTCGTCACTCTTTTGCTAATTGTGTTGTTTAGACCTTGCCATAAGCAGCAGATGATTGCACGGTCACTGCTCTGTACGTTTGGCACCCATTGACTTTGGCTGTTACCAAGGCTCATCTTCTCCATACAGGGCCCATCCCAGGGTGGGTTCTGCAGTTGCTTTGGTGAAAAAAGAGAATGGAAAGTGTTTGAGAGACTCAGAAGAACAGAGTCCTCAAATGGCTGGTGACCATCTATGAAATGGAGCAAATTCTGAAGGGCAATTGCTTACTTAGATCCTTTTTTTTTTTTTTTTTAATCTAAATAGAGCTGTACCCCAGACAGTGCCCAAGGTAGGCAGGTGAAATGTTTGTTGTGCTTTTCTACCAGATGCTGCGGTGGTAGACTATACTGTAGTTGTTGAATACTAGGTCCAGCCCTAGCCAGCAGTAGCCAGCCAGGCCAAGATAGACAGCACTCACATATGTTGCCTGTGGGTACGAGCAAACTTAGCAGCCAGCCTGGAGATAATCCATCAGGTGTAGTTTTCCTGGCTGTAGGACTATGAACAGTGCATGGCACATGCCATCTTTTAGACCTTTCCTTTTCTATCCAGCCCATGCAATGGCAGTGCCACTGAGGAGAAGCAGTGTCACCTCTTGGCCTCAGAGGAGTTCAGCTTAGGGACAGGAACCTCAAAAACAGAGGAGCATTCCCCTATGCTCTCTAAACAAGAACCCAAAACAAAAACAATCCAATTCAAACACAAAGATCTCAGATAAATAGAGCCTTGAAGAGGTTTTGCCCTGGTCTGAATGTTTGGTTGTAGAGCAGATGTTCTCTGTTCACTCCACAGCCTTGATTTATCCATTCTTTTCTGGTTCTTCATGTGTTTTGGATATATTGTCTACAGTTACATTTCTCCCTCTCTCTTTCTTTCATGTTCCTTTGCCTCCTTTTGTTCACCATCAAAGTTTCACAAGGTAAGTTTGTTTCTGTTCCTCCTCCTCAGCCTTGAACCCCAGGGCAGCAGCAGCACCTGTCTGGGAGGAGGAGATCAGGCCTGGCTGGGGCAGGTGCTGCTCGATCCCAGCTGACATCCAGCTGTGTCTGTGTGTCTGTCTCTGTTTGTCCTGTGGCTGTCCCAGTGGATGTGGGGACAGCAACCCCATCCTGAGAGCAGGGTGCCCACAAATCCCAGTGCTGTAAGACAAAGCCGGATCAAAACATTTTCTGGTGCCTTGAGGACACCATCAGAGCACACTGCTCTGGTTTCAGAGAACCCTGAGCAGGGGCACAGTCACAGGGAGGTTGTTGGTAAGACAGTTTGTTTGCAGATCGGTTGCCTTTTGCTTCTAAACACAAGTTGGTAATGACTTACAGAAGTGCAGTTTCAAGTAAACGAGGTTACGTTGTTGATTCGGGGCCCAGATGCTGATGTTGGAGCTGTCTGCTTTACCAAACTGCCTCAACTGTATCGCTGCACAGGTGCACTAACAGAGCACTACTTTGCACAAAATAATTGTTACATTATGAGTGCGGTAGCTGTTTTCCCATATAAACTATTTCATAAGACAGATTAGTATTTTCATAACTAAATTTAGCATAGGAGAGCTCATTTGGCTTACTCTGGTCATGTAAAGAGAGAAAAAAGCTCTGCCATTGCAGTTGGCTTCCAGCCAGTTGCAAACCAAGAGGCAAGCCTGAAGGGAATTCTATCATATCTTATTAAAGGCAAGGCTGCACAAACAGCAAGCAGTGGGGCCCTGGCCCCAAGGAGCCATGGTGAATAGGACAGGACACTCGAGCCCTTGCAGGTGTGATTTGTACACACCTTGGTGGTGACGTGCACTGAATTTGCTACTGAAAAGCTCCATTTTCCCCGCTGCTGATGTGCCCTGACCGAAGCACCTCATTCTGCTGGCCCGAAGCAAAGCGAATGGCTAATGAGGCAGCGAGAGACTGTGAAGGACTGAGGTTACTTACTCTGCAGCCACAGGTACCCACAGCACTCTGGAGCCCCTCACAGAAGCAAAGCCAGGCACTGTGCCTGCTGCCAGCGTCTGCAGGGCTGTGTGCTCAGGTGGCTGTGCCCATGGTGAAAAGGGGCAGCACGCCGTCCCCCTTCCCAGCAGCAGGGAGGTGGCAGCCCCTGGTCTCCTCACAGGGGTATCCCAGGCTCCTGGTACAGCTGGCTGCAGGCCACACTGAGGGTCCTCCTTAGGGACTAGCACTAACCATGTTCCCTTCCCCCCCTCCTCACAGGCTCCAAGGAGCAGGGAATCCCACAGCAGCTGTAGTGGCTGAGACAAGTATGTTCAGAGAAACACGGCGAGCGATTTCCTTGGGCAGCTGTGGGCCACGGACCTTCTCATTACCCTTTGTCTCTCTTCTTCCTTTTGTTTTGTGCCTGCCCCCGGTCCACCTGCCTGTCCAGCGGAGCGGCGGTACCGAGCACCCGAGGGAGACTTGCACTGACTGAGCAGCAGAGATGGGGCGAGCGCATCGCACCTTGGGACTGGCCCCAGCGAGCCAGCGATGGGTGGCCAAGGAGGAGGAAGAGGAGGGTGCCAAGAGGAGGAAGGCCCCTGGGCAAGGTGGCACCCAGTCAGGCAGTGGCACCAAGGGGGTGGGAGATGCTTCACTCTGCTGTCCCAGCAGGAAGTGGCCAGAGCTATCCTGCCTCCTGTTTCGCTTGCTGTTAAAGAAAACCAGCTGTGAACATCAAATGCCAAGGAGCTATTAATAGGTACATGTACAGTCTGTAAAAGCAAACAAGTTGTACAATTTTTCCCCTCCAAGAAGCCATTCTTGACTGCTTCGTGGCAACAAAGGGCTCAGCCCAGCCTCCTCTGCTGTGTATTTATGATGCTTGGCGAAGCTATATCATTGCAAACGTCTTGAGAAATGTGTTCTCTGTAAATTGTGTTGTACTGCTGAACTGAATTGGGCTATTCCCTCCTTCAATCCATTGGCAACATGCAAGCACCTGCCCCCACCGGCCCCAGGAGGCTCCTGCTAGCAGTGGGCAGGCACCCCAAGCTGCCAAAAGCTCCTGCTGTAAAGGCTTTTCCTCCCCTGCCCCTGGAAGGGATGTGCTGGCAGTGTCTCTTTGCTTTGAAAACGGATCCCTGCAGTGCAACCCACGGTACCGACTGACACTGCGGCTCTGCTCTGCTACCTGGGGTAAGTGCATGGAGCGTGGGGATCACACATCCTGTGCTGCCTGTGGTCTGAGGCCTGTGGCTTTCAGGCATGTGACTAGCAAGAGAATAAGGTACAAACAAGGAGAAAATGGTTTTATGAAAGAGCCCTCAGGTTAAATGTAAACTGATATTCCACAGGTCCAGCTATTCACAGTAAGCCTCTCCGCCTGCAGGCAGCAGTGAAGTGGTTCTTGGGAAGACAGGTGTCAACTGCTGCTGCTTGTTAATCTGGGCCTGGGTGTGCTGAGGAGGAAGGGCAGCACAGCTGTCCCACCTGGATGCTGTGCACAGCAGCAGTGCTTGGGGAATCCATACCAAATGAATGAGCTGTGAGTTGCGCTGGGAAAGAAGTGACCAGGGAGCAGCCTGCTCTACAGCCAAGAGATAAGTTCCTCAGGATCACCCTGCAGCCAGATAAACCCTTAAGTTGCAAAAGCCCTCCCCAAGGTTTGAAACAGGGGCAGCAAGAAAACAGCCAAGTATCATCCAGGAACAATGTGTTTCAGTGCCCACAAGGATGAATTCATTTGCAGAAGGATATGAATATTCAGTGGCCCACTCCTCTGCTGCAGTAAAAACTGCTCTTTTTGGGAGCGCTGCAGGAGACCAGGAGCAGTTGTGTGGTATGGGAGGAACAAGCTGAGGGCTGGAGTCAGGATAGCTTGAACTTTGCCACTGATATGCTGTGTGTCCCAAGGCTCCTGTCCTTCCTTCACCCCACTCACTGCAGCCCAGCTGGAACAGCAGCAGGGCTGAGACAGTGCTGAAGCCTGAGTTCACATCTCCCTGGGGCATGGCCCCTGGCCTGCAGTTCTTATCAAAGGAGAGAAGGCATTTATGGGGTAGAGCTGTAAAATCCCCACCTGCACAGGGGTGAGAACCACAGCTCACACACTGTTGAGAAAAGCAATGCAATGAAAGCACAGCTATAAATACTGCTCTGAAGCTCTCTCTTCTAAGCAGTGTTTTTCATTATTATTTTTTTAGGGCCAGAAGAATCACCCAGCACCTTCATTCCCCCCCTGCTGCGGGAGCACATTGCATCCTGGAAGTCTCACTCGTGCCTGCAGGAGCAAAGCCCCGACCCCTTCCTCACTGGACACATCAGCTGATGCTTCCACCAGAATATTCCCCTCTGCCTCCCCTACTGCCTCCCTTCATAGTTATAGTGCAGCAAACACGAGAAGGCTGTGGCTGTGCTTCTTGTTGATCCCTGCACACAATCCAGCTGCCAACCTGGATTCAGGTGTGTGGCACTGAGCTGGCTCCATATCATCCTTTGCTTTGTGAGAATAAATGTTATAGGTGCAAGTATTACAGCTAAAGAGCAATAGTAACTGATGAAGACTGCAACTGCTTTGCCACCACCAGCCAGCAACAGACTATTTTCTGCTGCTCTTTCCTGATTGTGAAAACCAGGTTTTCCAAAAAGGGCTGCAATGAAACAATTTCAGCCAGGCTGAAATGCTGCTTTACTGCTTGTCGGGAAGCACTGTCAGGTAGAGACCAAACCAAACACTTCTCTGGATTTGTGGTGAGTCATCGTGTAGCTTCACAGCTGAAGCACTGCAATGGGGAGAGCGTGGAAATGTTGATGAATTTGTTGGTGTTGTCAGTTCTGTACTTATCATAGAAAAAGGGCTGTGGAAAATGCTCGCTGTCCTGCCCAAATCCCAAGAAAGCTGCATGTTCCTCCCCATGTGCATCAGCTGCCACACATTTCACTAACGACCTTTTGCTGGACGCTGCTCCTTGGCACAGCCTCTGCGCTGCGGGAGGTGTAACGCAGAGCTCCGCCTCCAGGAAACCCACACAGGAAGATTCACAGGGCCGATACTCTTCAGGGGCAGCTTTGTTCCGTCCTGGTGTTGCATTCTCTCCTTTTCGGGATGACCCACGCACGTGCTCAGCCAGCAGAGCCTCCTCTCACCCTACCGCTGCACAGCACCATGGGGGCATTGCACAGGGCTTTGTCCCACAGATACACTTCTTTTTTGAGCTATTCAGTCTGAACAACACTTTCTACATGTCAACACTGGCACTCAGAATGGCCCAAGAAGAGCCATAAATGCAGACAGACCTAATGTTCCTTCCAGCTTAAAGTGGAGGCTTCTCCCAGGTGCTCAGTGGCAATGCACCCCCGTGATTCCCAGCTGAGGTTTCTCTGTGTTTGTGTACACAACTCACTTTCAGACAGTTTGAGGATTAATTTTCCTACCTGGAATTCAGCATTTCCAGTCTACCTGCATACCATCCCAAGTGACCATGGCACCAGATGAGCTGGGATTGTTGCAACAAGCCCAGCAGTTGCCCATACCACCTACCACCAATCCTTCTTCCCCATTATCTATTTGTGACCTCTCCCTGCACTCACCCAGAGGGCAGCAGCACTCTCTTGGTATGCTTCTGCCCTAGTGAGGAGGGAACTGATGCCTGCGTGCATCATCTGCTCCCTATATGGAGTTGGTGCTGGTGCCCTGACATTCAGCCTGCATTCTGTTTCTGTGTTGGTGCCTGACCTGACCCCCGCAGTCATGGAGGAGGGCTTGTGTTCCCACTGATCTTGCCAACTGGTTGTGATGTGCTGTGTTTTGATACTGTGGATTTTTTCTCTCTCATTCTCTCTCTCTCTCTCTCTCTCTTTTTTTTTTTTTTTTTAAGTTAAATATATTCTATTGCTGTACAGCTGGAATGAAACACACTCTCTTTATGTAGCCCAGAGAAACTCTACCAGGCCTGAATTTAGATGAGATTTCTTTCCATGGGGCAGCAGAGGCCGGGCTGGGGTCCTAACTTCAGTGTGGCCATCTCTGTGCTGCTGACACAGTGAGAGCAAAGCCCGGCCTGTAGCTGGCGGGGTGCTGTCTCACCTCGGTCTTCTCTGCAATCTTTGCACTTTGAAACAACTCTGGTCACATTCCCATACGTGAGCCGGTGCCACTGGGCAGGTGGGCTCTGGGGAGGGTATGAAGTTATGGTGGGGTTGTGATGGGGTCCCTGCCGGGTGCATCAGCTGGGGAGTTCTCAGCTGGGGAGTTCTGCTTGGAGGAGGTCCCACAGGGCTGACAGCCCACCAGAATGCAACTGGGTATTTTGACTGAGGAGAAGTCCCTTTCTGGATACCACTGTCCTAGAGCAGCAGTGACCCTTCCCTTTACTCCACAGCTGCTCCACACCAGGCACATTGCACACACAGGTAAGGACATGGAAACCAGCCCCCTCCCAAACACAGGCACCTTCCCGGGCTGCTGGACCTCACCAGCACCAATCCAGACATGCTCACGGTGCCAGTCATCAGCTGGAAGTGATCTCCACAGCTGGAGCTCACCCGGGGGCAAAATAGGATTAGCGCAGGTTGTATACGTGCTAATCTCATAAACCTTACAGTCAAGCTGTTCAAACATACATATGAACCCCAATAAAGCCGTGAGAGGAGAACAAACAACCCCAGAAATGATACTGCAGTCACAGTACGCTTTGGAGAGAGTTCGCGAGGGAGAATCAGAGCAGCGCGGAGGAGGACGGAGGCTGCCAGCCCAGCGGGAGCAGCGGCGGTGCTGCGGCGCCACCTCGCGGGCTGCGGCCGTGCAGTGACGGAGCCGCAGCGGCACCGCGCCCCGCAACCGCGGCGGGGAGAGCAGAGCTGTGCCGTGTGTTCTGCAAATAGAGTAGCCTTGAGAGTATGCAAAGCGGCAGGATGTGAAGCCTGGGTGATCCCACCTGCTGCCCTACAGCCTGCGTCACACGAGTCTCCCATTTAGGCCCTTCACACGCTGACCCCCACGTGTACATGCAGTTTCCAGACCATCTAAAATAAATGTGACTTAAAAAAAGAAACTAATGAAGAGGTTCTGCGGAAAACGAGCCAGGAAGCTCCTGTTTAACATCTGTTCTGAGACATGAGGGCTGGAGCACCTCCCCTATCCGGACAGGTTGACAGAGTTGGGGCTCTTCAGCCTGGAGAAGGGAAGGCTCTGGGGGGACCTGAGAGCAGCCTTTCAGTGCCTGACGGGGCCTACAGGAAAGCTGCAGAGGGACTTTTATAAGGTCACATAGCTATGGGAAGAGGGGAAATGGCTATAAACTGAAAGAAGGTGGATTTAGACTAGATATTAGGAAGACATTCTTTATTGTGAGGGTGGTGAAACACCAGCACGGGTTGCCCAGAGGCTGTGGATGCCCCTCCCTGGAGGCGTTCAAGGCCAGGCTGGATGGGGCTGTGAGCAACCTGGTCTGGAGGGAGGCGTCCCTGCCTATAGCAGGGTTGGAACGAGGTGGTCTTAAAGGTCCCTTCCAACACAAACCATTCTGTGATTCTGTGCTGGGAGGAAAGCAGCATATTGTGTCACTTTTCCTTTCATCCACACACTCTCCAGTGACCTTCCATTTTCATTGGCTTGTACTGATTCTACAGCAGGGAAGAAAGCTCATGGGGTCAAGGCCAAAGGTTAAAAGGTCCCAGGATCACAGTAAAATGACAAAAGGCCACTGACTCAAAAGTAATGGGATGGAATTCAAAGGTCACCAAGTCAAAGGTCAAATGCCAAAATGTGACAAGGTCATGGTGCCAAGGTCAAAAAACCTGAGTCAGTGTCAGAAGCTTAAAAAGTAAATCAGGCAAAGGTCTAAGATCGAAAGATGGAGAATCAAAGTCAGAGGTCTAAATGTCAGAGAGTCAAGGACAAAAAGTCAAATGTCAAACAGCACGTGCAAGGCTGTAGCAAAAAAGGATTGAGGTGGAATTATACCTTTCACAGTGTGAGGGAGAGTCTTCCTACCTTGCATAGGATTCTCTGGGGAGATACTGTCTTGTGCAAGCATTTGCAGAAAACTTAGCTGGTGAGCATTAGATCTCTCCGGAAAATGAATACATGCCAGCCCAGATACTGTGCTGCAGCAGCACCACCTAGCTGCATTCTCGGAAAGAAACCAAGGGAAGGAAGACCTAGGCTAGGAGTAAGCTTCACTTGCAGCAGGAAGGATACCTCTGGGTTTCCCTGAGCACTACTCTTGAGGAGCAGGGGCTGATTTTTCCTCAGAATAGCCTATTTGTGATAAGGAGCCAGATGAATCACACCAAAGCAGGTGTGATTTAGTAAAATTCTGCCTGTTCCCTTCTCAACAGTCCTTGCAGGGTTTAGTTTGCTGCTTGCTTTGAATCTAACCATAAGATCAAATGCAGTCTGAGAAAGGGATGGAGATAGGTGCCCACAGAGCTCCAGGCAGTTCAGGTGATGGCAGCATGCTCTATAGGTGTGTGGCAACAGCAGACAATGACTGCTTTAGCCTGCTTATAGATTGTTCAGCAATGGCATCCAGGTGTGCTTATTGCTGGCTGGGAGTGGGAAGCTTTTAATGGAACCCTCTTTAACGGCTGGACTGAAAAAGCAGTAGATACTGTCCTAATCCAAATGCAGGGAGAGGCTGGTTGCAACATGATTCTGCTGTGCTCCTGTGCCTTCACTTTCCTTCTCAGCAGATCCCTTCTCACCAAAGAGGGCTGCACCTACTGGATCAGCAAAGACGGATGTTGCAATGCTGTTTCTATGCGCTAAGGCCAGCTGGCAAGTGAATTAACATAAATTTGGTCCTCTGTAGGAGAAAGGAGATGCTTTGCCATGATGAGAGTCAGCAGGAAGTTAGTCAACTGCTTTGGTATTTTAAGAAATACTGGGAACATCCTTTTTTTCTCAGAAAAATTTTCTGATTGTCCTGGGAAAGTCTGTAGGCAATGTATCCCCTTCTTCAAATCTTTATAGCCACAAGTTGTTGCTGGGGGAGCTGGGACAAACAGTGGTCCTCGGGTGAGGTGGTGGCTGTGGACACAGCAGCTCCTGCTGATGTGCTTTCCCCCTGACCCCAGGGAGCTACCTGAGCTACTGCTGGGCCCCTGCCTGGGTTACTGCTATCAGCTGTATGGTAAGTCTGGCTCATGAGCAGTGTGCTGTTCAAGGCTGTACCAGATCACCACCCCCTGCAA